TAGGCAGGGCCGGGCGCGGTAACTGTGTCTCGCATCGTAGCTAGAAACCCCGGGCACCCGGAGCCGTATACTAGAAGCCCCGGGCACCCGTTCTAGTTCGCTCTAGTAGGCCCCACGGCCCCGCGGCCGCCGCCGGCGGCAGGAAACCTCGCCCAGAACCCCCCCCCTGCGCCGGATGGGACCTCAGGGAACCCGAAACGCCCCCGAGAATTTTGGGTCGGCGGCTGGGGGCTTTACTCAGGCGCCGGGGCGGGCGGGTGGGGTCCGAACTAGAGAGCGTCGAATTTCCCGCGTTCGTCTCTCCACTAGCTAGGTTTCGACTCGAACACTGCCACGCCCCACGAGGCTTATGGCCTCAAGCAGGGCAGGAGCAACGACACACGCCGTGGAATAAGACCAGGCGAGAGTTGTGAGTTCCTCGTCGGAGAACTCGTGTATCCTTGCTATCGCGGCGACAGCGATTGAATCAAACGTTTCCTTGTGCGGTATCCCAGCTTTAGCGAAGTATCTAGCTACCAAAGCCAGCTGCCGGGGATTTAGCATGTCAAGGTCGTGTGTGATAGCATTTGAGAGCGCGACGTAAAACTCCGGGTTGGTGACACCGTGGGTGGCGTACGCCTGGATGGAAGCAATAAGCGTGGTTATGGAGGCAGACTTGAGGCTCATCCTCGTGATGGCGTTTGCAGTCACCTGCCATATTATGGTAAGATTGAAGCGCTCCAGGTCCTCGAGCGAAAATGCATCTACGTAGTCGTCAATATGCTTGACAACTTGATGCATCAGAGGGGCTGCACAAATACCTGCATAGGCGCAGCGCCTCGCAACGTTTGCAATTTCGTCGGTGGAGAAAGATCTATAACGGCATGCCATTGTATGTGCAATAGAACTGAGCAGCACTGGTGCAGAAAGATCCATTATGAAGAAAGCATCCATAGTTTTCATGAGAATTTCAGGCAATGATTGTGAAGAAATGCGTTGCGGAGCTGCAGTACTTATGGCCTCGAAAAGTGCTGGTGCTTCATACTCGACGTCAGCGAAAGCGTGTGCTGTCGCCTGTAGTCGTCGAATTCCCGGGAGACCGAAAAGTTTCAGACGCGGTAACACGCGGCAAGCTCCTGCGCATTGAAGCCATGGATGCGACCAGGCGCCTCAACAGCGATGGCGTCAAATACGACGACAGCGTTTGGTCGGACAAGGGCAAAAGCGGCAGCTATAGTCGCGATGTTCTGTGGCGAGCAGGCATGTATTTTGGAAGGAACTTCTCCTGCGATTATATCGAAGAGATGCGTATGCTTTATGCCATGCCGGTCATGTGCGCACGCGAATGCCCACACAGTATTCGCAAGATCAATTGGTGCGAAATCAGCCACTCGCTCAGGCATGACGGCTGCGATGCAACCAAAGAGCCGCGGGGCACAGATATTTGACCTAGCAAACGCCCAAGCCGTGGATGATATGTGTCGTGGAGAGAATCCCTGCATGTGGGCGGGTGAAGCTGCCTCGATTGCATCGAACAGCGCTGGTGCATCGACGTCGGCTTTGGCAAATGCCCAGGAAAGGTTCGCGAAATCCTGAGGACCAAATTCAAAGACACGATATGGTGTTTCCTGCGCTATAGCAGCAAATAGCGTTGTCGCTACCACACCCAAGCGTGCAAGTCCCCAGGCAACATTGGCGAGGCTCCGCGGGCCAAGCTCTCCGCGCGCGATACTCAGCACACAGAGATCCATGACCTTACGCAGCCCAGCTTCTGGCTCACGCTTGTTCTCAAAAAATGGGCTGAAACGAGATCCAAGGCGATGGATCGCTGTCGATATGTTTACATCATTAAAGTCATTACCACGAGACTCCATGAGAGCAAGCAGTGAAATCGCTGAACGAGATGCCGTTATCTGTCTGTTTAAGTTAATAAAATCTAAATTGTCATTCGGGGCGACAGCTTGCGGGAAGAGCAAACATGTGGTGCGATCTCCTCGTCCACGATGCACAACCAAGTGGTTGGAGAATCCACCGCGCGGCGAGCCTCTGAAAATCTCTTGGCTGCCATGATCACAACGCAGATTTCGTTTTGCTGATGAACGGGCTGATCGAGACGTCGATCGCAGGTCTTTTCGTCCCATGGGCTCGAAACTGTCGTAGATACTCGATGCACGTTGCATATTTCCGTCCCGGATGGGCCACGATCGGAGCGCCGAGGCTGGGCGAGCCGGGCCGATCTGCCGTCCTAGTGGGCGGGCTTAGGCGACTGTGCGAGTCGCGGGAGGTGGGCGTGGATGTGCGCGCAGGATGCGCAGGAGCGAGCTGAGTGGGCCCATAACCCAGAATGACACGGCCCGGTGTGTTTGGCAGTAGGGGGGCTCAGCGTACGGCATGGGCACGTGGGGCTGTGTTCAGCCACGAAAACCGAACCAATCGGAGAGCTTGGAAGTTCTACCAGCGGAGGGGCTCCGGAGGACTCAGAAAATGCAAAATTGGCCGCCCCGCTACCGCCCTGGGGAGCTAAAAATCCCCGACACCAAGTGGGTTTATGCTAGGTTACTCTAGTCGCGTGCATCGCTGTCATGGCAGAGGACGGTGGCAATGCGATCGATAGTGTAGCTGGCCCTCCTATGATGACAACGCTCCAGCTCGCGTTAACGTTTGGCGCTATCGCAATTCCGACGGCTGTCCTTGCAGCCAAATATCTCTTCGTGAGAAAGCAAGAGGTCTCGAACGAGATGCTGTTGGGCGGAAGGGAGGAAGAGTACTCCTGTAAGCGTGTAGGATGTGACGAGATGGAAGTTGTGAAATCAGCATCGTGGCCGCGAGAGCTGCCGGGTCTCGCAGAGATAGAAGCTTATGAGGTAATTAAATGTGAGGTGCTCAATGAGGAGTCCAAAGGCGAGGGCGTCGCGGACGAGGCGCGCATGCGACTCCGACACGCCTTGATGGATCGTTGCCAGGCGCATGTCGCATGGCTGTTGCGTCTAGAGCGCGAGCAGCGATCAATCGAGCGGATGGCCCGACGTGGCATGATGTCCGAGGCCGACTTTCAGATATTCTCGAGATTTGCTGAGCGTTTAGACACGGAAGTGAATGAGGTGCGCGAGGAAGCCGCCTGGCTGTGCGATGATTCTGAGCGCAGTCGCCAGGCATCAGAGGAAATATGGTGCGTGACCTTCTTAAGTATGCTCGTCCCATGCTCATCGTAGGCGGATTGCGGTACAGATCTGGCACCAGCGGCGTCAAAAAAACGCACAAAGGGAGGCAAATGCGCAGGCAGCGGACGCAAAGGCCCGTGAGAGCGCATCTCGTCTAGATGATGCAAAGAGAAGTCTAAGGGGTCTCAAGGGTGGCTTTTTGCGTAGTGGAATTGAGAGTGGACCGAATTCTCGGGGTAGTAGCACGCCTGATCAGAGACCTGGCGAAGTAGAAAAGCAGCAAGTCGGGCCGACCTTCGAGGCGATGAAGTGGCCTGCGCAGCTCCCAGCTGTTTCTGCGATCCGCCAGTACGAAGCACTCAAGGCGAAGGCACTGAAGGATGGTGCTACCGCCGATGGCGTACCCCTACCTGAGGGTGAGACCAAGCAACGTCTCCGGCGGGCACTCATGGAGCGCTGCCAGCTACAAGTTCCGTGGTTGCACCGGCTAAAACAGGAGCGTCAACGTGTGCATGCCGCTATGGAGCGTGCGAGGTGGCAGTCCGGCGCGACACCCACTGCAGAAGACCTCGGTAAGTTGAAACAATTCGAAAATATGTGCAAGACAGAAACTGGCAAAGTTGAGGAAGAGGCGGAATGGCTTGGCGATAAAGACGGTGCAGCTGGTATGGGGAATCGTATCTGGCCGATGGCATTTGAGCTACATGCAAAAGCTAATACGCAGAGTGCAGAACGCGAGAAAATGGTACAAGCACACTATGAGAAGACCCTCAAGGCTTATACGGAGCGTTCTGCCAAGCCTTGGCCAACTGCATTGCCTGGGATCGCACAGCGAATGACTTACGAGCAGATGAAAGCAGCTGTCCTCAAGCAGCTGCCCCAACCTGCTCAAGCTGCTATGCTCGAAGGCAGGCCTGCGCCGCAAGTTGTCGGTGGACAGG